AATAGTCGAAAATAGAAATATTCGAAGTGAAACAGATTATTACGCATTTTACCGGTAATTCCGAAGTGAATGCTTTGCTCCTGATTAAGAAGCAAATTTGCATGATGAATAAAAACCCAAGAAGTCATGTCTGTTGTGCAAAATTTTGACAAGAAAACTATCATAAAAGGATTTTCCAATTCCTATTAAGTTCAAATTTTATGAATAGATTTAGAACCTTCTAGGGAAAGTCTACGGTATACAAAAATAACCGGACAACGACTCTTTGAATGAGTTTGCGAAGATGCGTCACTATTATATTGATTTGTCAAATAAAACAATGATGATCTTACTCAATTTTTTTGAATAAGAAAATTCTTGATTATGCTGAACTGGGGTCATACATTTTTCACGTGTAGACAATATAACCAAAGTTCCATATTATAACTGCAAATGATAAAGTTAAGTGCTGTGCAATTCTGGCACGATAAGCAATTCTCAAATTTTACTTGATGATTTATTATGATGATTATGTAATGTAAGGTTCACAAAAGTACATTTAAATTCAAAGAAGAAGTTTGCCTTATTATAATTTTATTTAATTAATTGAAACTTTGAACTAAAATTGATATATGATTTTAAAAAGTTCTGATTATGTACTACTTTTTAATATTTTAAAAGAAATTTAACTCATAGGCACATGAGACTGATGGAAATTTAACTCTTTCTCCTTAGATTTTTTTTTTTTTGAATACAACACTTATTAATTTGAATTGGAAATTTCTTTGTATCATCTGAAAAATACAGATTATAATATCATACAATTTTTAAAAAATTCTTGTAGTAACTGTCAAAATATAAAACTAAATAGAGAAATAAAATTTAAACTTAAACGTAATTTAAATTTGTTTTATTGAATTTTTATTACGAGTCGTTAATTTCCCACCTGAATGTTCTAATAATAATTTATTTGAAGAATAGACGTAATCAAGCATATACGTCGGAGTTCCGCACGATCAGTTACGTTTAGTAGATAAAAAGGATAACTCAAAACTAAAGTCTAAGACATACCCTTTTTTATTCCAGGAAGAAATCCCGCATTATTGCATTAAATTCAAAAAGGTCATATAGGATAGATGACACATTAGCCATATGAAATATAGGCCAGAAAGCAGGTCTTCTTATTAATCTGATGAGTTTTAGCAACTCATTTCCACGATATAATAAAGAAGGTTGGCCACAAATGTTTGTTTCTTCTTATGAAGTGATTGTTGGTAAAATAGAAATAATAACATGAATTCACCAAATCAAATTTGTTGAACGCTACCGCAATAAATTATTTATTAAAATCAAGCATAATGCAACGATTTTGGTCCCAAACCTCAATTTATTAATAATGCAATGAATTTGTTTAACAATACAGGATTTAACGTTAATTGATCGGTCATGAATGATCAAACCTAGTGTCGGCAAGTGAGAGTTTGTGGAAAGAGGTAATGAAACAATGATGAATTGATGAATTGTCATGGATATTATGAACACCCAAAGCAAATCTCTCTGAATGAACGAAGATAATGTTGAGAGTACATTCCCAATTCTTGATAGCTTATATTACTCGTCTCAATTAAGACATAATTTTATGACAGTCATTGTGTTGGTTTGATACTATATTTATAAAAACCCCATGGATAAATCGATAGTGTAATATAGATAGTTGTATGTGATAATAACGTTTAGCATTCTTACTTGTAGTGTATCAAAATATTAATGCAATACATGACAAAGCATTAGACTGTAAAATTAGCATTAATCTTATAGAGAAAGAATGAGCTGTTAGGCTTAAATGTTACGCTATTAATTAACAGATCGTATTTACTAACAGGGAGTTATGTTAAGTTAAACTATGAAACAAATATACATGAATTAATTTTATTGAAAGGTCAGGTCATCTTTATCGATATAGATTTAAAGAATAATGAATTGTAAATGATCAAAGGTTAAGTTTAAAAATATTTATTAGCGAACTCTGCCGTTTATCAGGGCAAAGATGTAGGATATTTATATAAATTGGAATTGACGATAAACGTCCAATGTATTGAAATTTAAACGATTACAGTATAAATTATACTTTTGTTCAAACCCACCTCCAAAATTCTCTCTTTCCTGCAAATTTTCAATTTCCCATTTACGATTTTTCTTACCATTCACCCTCCCCTGCTACTCTATAGTATAGTTTATATGTTATACACGCATCAAAAATATTTTGGTAGAAATTCGCAATATTAATATAATTTTGTTCATAATGGTTGACCAACCTTTCTGTTCACAGGTTGTATGCTGTGAACGGCTCCTTAATATTGTTCCGATATAGTAACGTTTCAATACATTGATATGAAATAAAGATATTTAATATAAGTAAAGAAAATAAGAAAATAAATACATTATAGAAATATAAGAAAAATAAGAAATTACAGATATTTAAGAAATTATAGAAATTTAAAAAAGTTGAGAAAGTCCAATTTTGTCTTCCGGCCTCATGGACAATAAAACAAGTCCTTATTGATTGTCGGTTATAAAAATGGTGGGATTTCGCTTGAATGAATATATGTTTTATATCCTAAAATAACAATAAAACTTTTAGTTAGTATTTTTCTTGCATTTATTGTAATAACATTGAAACTTTAATTAATGAAAGTATCTTATCTTATAGAGAGCCGACGATTGCGACAATACCTTATTTACGTTATATTAGATTAGTTTTCGTTATTATAAATAAATTCAATACGGAATAATAAACCTTCTGCTTCCTTCGCCTTTGCTTTCAACCGAAAACATAAATAACTGTGCTTAACACACATACTTTCTTTTTTTTTCGTTGAAGATGATTGTGTTGAAATAGATATTATTATACCATTAGGGTCGGTCAAACTATCGATGTTCACTGATTGGTTGACCTATTTACGGTAATTATCAAAAATAGAAAATAAAAAATTTTTTTGTTTATTAGAAAGTTTTTAATATCTTAACTTATCATGGCATATTTTATATAAAGTTTTTTTTTATTTTTTTATGTTTTAACTTACTTATTCTTTCAGGTTTACTTCTTTGAAATGCATTTCTTCAAGTTATTAAAAAAATAAAAAAATTTTTAATTTATGTAATTAAATAATATTATTGATTAAAACATGTTTGGTTTGGAAGACCGATATCGTTCACAGGTTATCTCCGGTATTGACCATTAATATCCCTAGTTTTTAATCTTTAGCTAATTTAAAAAGTTACAATTAAAAAGTAAGGATCATCTGATATCTACTATTATCGTTTGGAGTAAAACTGCAAGTGTTGAATCGTCAAGGTTGAAGAAGTCTTAAGGAATTTTAAAGCCCTTAACAATATTCTTAAAAGTCATAATTTCTTTTTGACAATTTTAAATATTCCATCCCTTAATATAAAACGAGTTGATTAAAAGACATTTTCTAATACTTCACCATACCTTTTGTCTTTATATGAATTTCGAGGATGTATTATAACAAGCTACATTCTACTCGAAAAGCTTACTTTGTTCAATAAATATTGCTAACGCTTGATACATATCTACAGCGAAGCTTATAATAATAATTTTCACATGTTTTATCATAACTTTAATGATGAATAGAAGAAAAAAATATCGTAAAATTTGAAGGTAATAGGTAAGGTCAAATAATTTTTTTCAAGGTAAATTCATAAAATTCATGTAACCAAAAATAATTTTTGTTAATTTGTTAATTAAGTATCAGTTTTGATGAGGCTCGCTTGATAAGCTTTATATATAGATTTATGAATTTACAGTATGTAGTTTAAATTTTTTTTTTATTTTGTTTATTGCTTTAAAAATCAAGGTGCGAGCGATATATTGTAACGAAGATCTTGTGTCCCTGCTTGTAATACATATATTGTCTAGTCCTTAGCTACTTTCCGGACTAATAAATTGAATGTTTTTCATTACTTCAAATGCACCAATAGTTTAACATTATGATTTTAGTAATTTAGTAAGAAGAAAATTAAACTTCTATTTTTTTCGCTAAGAACTTTCAATTCGATTTATTTGCTTGGTGTAGATCTATCTATATAAAGCTTGAACGGATCATCTGAACATTCTTTTGGGAAATTTCGAAGACATTGATGGAATTCTTTTTTTTGAATTCGGAAATTTCCTTTTAGAATAAGTCATATTAAGAACAAAAAGTATAAAAATAGGTGGTTTTTACTTCCTGAGACGAATTTGCAGAAAACAAAATATCGACTTTTTAATCGTAAATGACACAAGATCAGCAAATGCAGACCGTTGTTAAAATAAAGCCTAAAAATAAATTTGATAAATGTATTGATTGTAAAAGAAGAAGAAAACCCTCTGAAGAAAATCATAAGATTTGCCGTACTTGTTATAAATCAAATACTATAAACCTTATTTCAAGTGGAAACAAAATTATTGACGATTTTATCAAATATACTCACATTACTTTTAGTCGTTACGATAAATGTCGAATGGAGTTTGTTCCATATGAACAATTCAAAAATATAGAATTTATTGGTGAGGGAGGATTTAGTAAAGTTTATAAAGCTATTTGGATTGATGGTCCAATTAAGGAGTGGAATAACGAAAAAAAAAAATATAATCGGAATTCTAATAAAGAAGTTGCTCTAAAGAAACTTAACAATTCTAAAAACTTTACTTCTAAGGAGTTAAGCGAGGTATATTTACATATTTCTTTTTTTTATTAATTATAATATATACTAAGTTAATAATCTTTTTTCAGCTTAAAATATCTTATCAATTAAGAAATAGCTATCGCTATGCTGTAATTATTTCGTATTATGGAATTACGCAAGATCCTAATACTAAAGAATTTGTGATAATTATGGATTATTGTATTAAAGGAGATCTATCCCATTATATAGCTAATGATTTTTTTAATGTTAGTTGGGATACAAAGTTATATCATTTATATTTTATTGCATATAGCCTATCACATATTCATAATATGAGTATTATCCACCGTGATTTTCATAGTGGAAATATTTTGATGAAGCAATATGAAAATGATAATACAAAATATATTAAAATAGGTGATTTAGGATTAAGTAAATCAGCTACTGAAGCTGCCGATAATGAAACTTATGGAATTATTCCTTATATGGCCCCAGAGGTTCTTCAAGGACAAAAATATACAACAGCATCAGATATTTATAGTTTTGGTATGATTATGTGGGAATATATGACAGGTAGAAGACCTTTTTGGGATCGTGCTCATGATACTGAGCTGATTATTGATATTTGTGATGGTTCACGTCCTCCAACAGGTGATATTGTAGCACCTGAAGGTTATATTGAGATAATGAAAGAATGCTGGGACCCGTATCCAAGTAAAAGACCATCAACTGAAAATAGAATTTACGAGATGTATAGGTCTGAAGAGAAAAATCCAACCGATATTGTAGAATCATCAGAAATTGGACCTATAACAACAATCAATCCAGGTGCTTTTTATAAAAGTAGATCTTTAAATAGCATGATAAACTCCGCAGAATCCACAAGAAGTTTACGAAGTCAATCCATTTCTTCGGATTATGGTGATTATGGTAATTAAAATTAAATAACCAGTTAAATAACACATTTTGAATATGCTAAAAGTATTGATAACCTTTTTTCCTTTTTTTAAAAAAAAGGTAAACGAAAGTTTGAAAACAATAAATTTGAAAGTAATGACGGTAAAATAATATTTCAATAAATTTACGATTCAAAGAAATCAAAAGAAAAAATAACATTTAGTATCTGTATGATTTTATAGATAAAGGCAATAAAAAAATCAAATCGGAAGAAGAACCTTATACAACAAAAGCATTCGAATATAATATTTAAATGTGGACTATTAAAGTAACAATACATAATATGTAATAATGCTATGAAACGATCGGGTACACAAATTCTAACTATTTAAATATTCTTTTTATTCTTTCTTATTAATCATATTGGCGAAAAATAGTTGTAAAAAAAATTTTTTCTTATTATATTGTATACTTATCTTATCTCTGACAAACCATATTTATTATTATATTCGTTAAATAAAGATTTTTTTTTTTATTCATGATAAACTTATTTGAAACTTCATCTTTAGAAAAATATGCGACACATATTAATTACAAAATAAAAACGTGGTTTTTTGTGTTACTGCGATAAAGATCTATTTTTATTTTTTTATGGATTATTCTGATAAGGTATTCTTTTAATATCTGCCATGAAATAAATGATCAAGATATTAATTTGAGGATAGATGATATTGGAAAAGAAAAATAATTTGAGATACAATACGAATTAATTTTTAATTAATATGAATGATAATAATCCTATCTTTAAGGTTGATAAAAAATGTAAAATTCTATTGAAGAAAATGGTTGAAAAATAGAAAATCATCACAATAAAAGAACTTTTCAAGCAACGTAAAATAAGACTTTCAGGTTATAAATTATAAATTGGTAAAATTACCATAGCAATATATTCAAAAATACCTTAATGCGCGTCTTAAAAAAATTTTTTTATCATGTATTTTTTTTAAAAAAATGAACCTTTTAAATTTAAATTATTATCTTGTATGTTGCGGGTTAAAAATATCATAATTTTCTTCCTGGTGATGCTAGGGTCGTTTTATAATTAAAAAAAAACAACGTTTATTAGTATTGCAATGACAAATATAAATTTATAAAAAATTTGACTCGGATTTCAGTCCCCAAACTGTTGTAGATAATATAATCTGTAGGTAAAATCACCGTTATTGTAATATTTTTGTACTTTAAATAAAAAAATCCGTCAAATTATTAGCTCAATTTTTTTAATAAAATGCATTTCAAACAATTTCTTAAATTTTTAGAAATATGTCCACCAATTTTTATCGAGTTACGCGAGTTTTTGTATAATTCATTCTACCGTATATTTTGTTTCCTTACTCGCACATGTAATTTATGTTTATTTGGGAAAATTTATCAAAGCGATCTATTATTCCATTAATCTCTTTTATGTTCTGTAAGTTAAAAAATAAATAAAAAATAAAAAAAACTTTTTGGATGATAATGTTTTAATTAAATATAATTATCTCACTTGATACTTATAAAAACATTGTTACATGGGATTGTTTTCTGTTTTATGAATTTCTTTTAACGGCTAGTTATGCACCGTTCGTCTGCGATTCTTGCGGTGACAAAAGATGAAATATATGATAAAATACAAACTATACGAAGCTCCTTAACATCTTCCGCATCTTCTACTTCGTCTTTTGTTCCCCGAAAATCATTCTTGAGACGATAAAAATTTATGCTAAAACAGCGAAAAAAAAGACATTGTAAAGGTATTAGTTAATATATTTCTTTACGTGTCTGAAAAAAAATATACATCCTCCAGATATACGATTTCCCGTAATAACAAATACAGACTTTACTATGAAATTTTTAAAAAATTCGTTTTAACGAGATTTTATTAAGTGATAGTTATATCGAGAATCGTTATATCGAGTTTTGATACTGATATCAAATTCAAATTGTCTTGATGTAAGAATTCAACATCATTATATTTATATATCCATTATTTTTCTGACCCGAGTAAAAATTAAAAAATTTTTTTTACTTAGTTCAGCCACAAGATGCTCTTAAATAGGAAAAGTAAAGATTTATTTTTTACTTCTTTTCTAATAATTAATAATATGCTATCCTTTACTAATTATAGAAAAATTTTATATTAAAATTAGGGCATAAACGCACCTGAAACGAATCTTCAAGAAAAAAAAAATAATTTAATTACCTATGTGTTCCAACCCGAAAGAACAGGCCTAAATAACATTTAACGAGTATATTTTATTATATTCTAGATATTCTTTGCCTCGGATTTAAATCTTCGTAAGAATCGTTATACTTTTTGCGTATACAACTTTCTATTTGACTGTCTAGATCGTTTTCTTGTATGACTACCACTATAAAATAGAGTATTCTAAGAAATTAAATCTACTTAAGGACTTAAGGTTCCGCCAAACCATTTAAAAGGTTAGTCACCAGGTTGGGATAGCCTTAATTGTAATTTTTTACAATCAAATACTAATTTCAGAGTAATTGAACCACGACCGTTATAAACCTATGTTCTTTATAATTAAAATTTGATTTTCATTATTGCTGAATATCAAGCGTTTACAAATTGTAATCTAGTGAAGATAGTATCTTTGTTTATCGAATTAAACATCTTACTAGCCTAAAAAATTTATCATTTCGAAAATAGAGTAATTCGAAATGTGTGTAACCATTATCATAATTCTATCGGTAGTTGTTATGTATTATTTGAAATTATTAAGATTATTGCGGGTTATTTTTTATTATCAAGGAAATAAAATTTCATTTCTAATGATATTTTAGTAATCAAATACCTTTTAAATATGATGAATCCAAACATTGATCTCATCTAAAAAAAAAAAAATTATGAGTAATGACTGCATATAATTTTATGGTGATATTGTAGAGCAAAGTTGGTATTTGGCCGTTTGGCCAATGCCCAAAACTATTTCGGTTCAACTAAATACTACCCTAATTATGTTTAATTAAGTGTTGGCCGTTTTGACTATTTTCATCATTTTACGACTATCTGGCTATATGAACTTATTTGAAACGACCAAAGCATATTATTACTATTTTATTGTGAGAACAGTTGTTGAGCTTTTTAACTGAATTTGTGCTGTGATCAGAATTATCATAATGACTTTCTATTCTAAACCACTCCTCCATTGGAAGTTTTGCTTAGTTTCTCAATTATTTGCTCGTGGTCATATTTTCATATGTCGATTATTAATTGCATCCACTTAATCTTTAAAAACTCTACGAACCGTGAAAATTATGGTCATAGTCAATTTAAATATAAACTTTTGAAAATAAGATTGAAAATATAGAAAATATGTCATTAGAAAAGATCTAAGAATAAAAACTTTGTTTCTCCAATTATTGGATTAAATATGTTATACACACGAATGTTTGATGATAATCATATTGAAAAATGAAGTTTTGTATATTGTTGTTATTTATTTTTTTTTATGAATAAATGTTGACCTTTTAAGAAAAAATAGTCAGATAGTATATTTAATAAATTTTACTTCGTAAGTACAAAGTGATAATTTGATTTTCTATTAAATAAATTCTTGATCAAACTATCCTAATTGAAACCACTTCACTTTGTTTAAAAATACAAACGTAAAGAACCGGACATAACAATATAATCATTTTTAAATGGGGGCTTTTTTTTTTGTTTTTGAATTTTTATTTGTCTGTCTGGTATACTCTATATACTCTATATATCTATAAAGTATTTTTAAAATTTATTTTCGTTTTACTGCGCCGATAAGAATCTCACATTTGTACGACGCATATGTTTGTTACTCAACATTGTTTATAAGGTGTTCTGCTTTTTAAAATTACTATTTTGGGAGAAGATTCTTCTTAAACCGAACACGCATTTTTAAATTAAAAATTATCACGATTAGTAGTAACCCTTTCAACGAAAGCATCTATTTTAAACATGACAGCCGAAAAACAAGTAGACATTTATGTTGGTTGGTTAGAAAAGGCAATATCAGAAAACTATATTAAATATTATGATTACGACAAGTTCGATAATAATGAAGAAATTAGCGGCAGTTCCAATGGGAACGTTTCTCGTGCAAGCTGGGGAGATTCCGGTACTATTATGGCCATAAAAGATTCACATAACTTAACTATTAAAGAAATTGTTAATGAGGTAAACTATTATAAATGTTGCAACTACATCTACAACTACTTACATTTATATTTTTATTATTAGATAAAAATGCAACGCGAAGTTGATTATCATGCAAATATTATCAGGTTTTATGGAATATCACGATTAGAGACGGATTCAATCGATCAAAAAAACAAGTATTTGTTGATTATGGAGTATGCTAATGGAGGATCATTACAAACTTATTTAAAAGAAAATTTTGATAACTTAGAATGGAGTGATAAATATCAATTAGCCTATCAACTTGTAACTGCTGTGGCATGTATGCATAACGAAGGGATTATTCATTGTGATTTGGTAATTTGCATTCTATTTGATAATATTTGTTTGGAATTTTCATGGTAACTAAAATAACAAATTTCTTATTATAGCATGCTCACAATGTACTTGTGCATCAAAAGAACATAAAGTTAGCAGACTTTGGTTTATCACAAACAATTACCGACACAGGTTATCCAACAGATGTACATGGTGTCGTTCCTTACATTGATCCAAAATATTTGAATAATGTTATAAATAAAAATAAAGATCAATATTATATGTTAAATCCAAAATCTGATGTTTACAGTGTTGGAGTTCTCCTTTGGCAAATTTCTAGTGGGCATAGACCTTTTCATTGCGAGGAATATGATGTAAATTTAGTTATGGATATTAAAAAAGGTCGAAGAGAAATAGTTGTTAAGGATACTCCTATCGAATATAGTAACTTATATAAAGGTAATTGTCGCGGCATTTATTTCTTATTATTATAATAACTAATTTAATTTATTGGTGTTTATTAGCTTGTTGGAAGGATGATCCAAATGAACGTCCTAATATGCAACAAGTCGTTAAGTCGCTTCAATCAATAATGTTTGTAAATTATAATAATAAAAATGGATCCATTATTCATTCAGAAAATAAAGTCGAGTCAAGAGACATAAGATGTATGCATAGTAATAATTCTGGGACATTTCAAAGTAATTTAATGCGGGATTGCAATTTAGAATCAATATATAATGAATGCAATTCACAACATATTTTATATCAAGCAGAAAAGCTACTTTTGGAAATTTATGATATAAATGATAGTATAGATATGCTTATTTGTAAGCTAATCAAGCTATTAATTGAAACGCAGGATGAAGGAAATAATTTCATTGAAACTGAGCATTTTATTAATCATTGTATATTTCTTTCAAATCGAACATCAAATGAGATTTATGAATGGCTTAACGAGAATCATATGGAACCAAAATATAAATTTTTCTTGGGATTTTTGTATTATAATAATATCAATCTTGAGAAAAATTACAATGAATCATATAAATTATTTTTAGATGCTTCCATAGAAAATTATCCTATTGCGCAAGTTTATCTTGCAAATTGTTATAAAGAAGGATTAGGAACTGAAATAAATCATGATCTCGCTTTTAAATGGATGCAAAAAGCCGTAGGAAATGAAAGTATTCTTGGACAACTTAATCTGGGCATTTATTATGAAAATAATATCGGAACAGAAGAAAATTTCGACAAAGCTTTTTATTGGTACCAAAAAGCAGCTAATAATGGAAATTTATGCGGACTATTTAATTTAGGCAGATGTTATGAATTAGGAATTAGTAATGAAAAAAATGAAAGTAAAGCTTTTGAAATATATAAGCAATTTCATAAAAAAGAATTTATAAATGGAAAATATAAACTTGGAATTTGCTATTATTTTGGAATTGGAACAGATATTAATAAAAATCAAGCATTTAAAATATGTAAAAATTTGGCTGAAAAAGGATATAAAAAAGCACAATCTTCTTTAGGTTATTTATATAATCAAGGTGAAGGCACAAAAAAGAATTTAGAACAAGCTTTTTATTGGTTTCAAAAATCAGTAGATGATAATGATATAGTTGCAATAAATAATTTGGCTTTATGTTATTATAATGGAGAAGGAATAGAAAAAAATGTTAAAAAAGCATTTTATTTATATCAAAAAGCTGCAAAAAAAGATAATATAGTTGCAATGAATAATTTAGCTTTATGTTATTATAATGGAGAAGGAACTGAAAAAAGTTTCGAAAAAGCATTCTATTGGTATCAAAAAGCAGCTGAAAATGATTACAATAACGCACAAAATAATTTAGCTTTATGTTACCAATATGGAAATGGAACAGAAAAAAATTTAGAAAAGGCATTTTATTGGTATCAAAAATCAGCAGAAAATAATAATTTAGTTGCAATGAATAATTTAGCTTTATGTTATCAATATGGAGAAGGAATTGAAAAAAACTTAGAAAAAGCATTCTATTGGTATCAAAAAGCAGCAAAAAATGGTAATAATGATGCACAAAATAGTCTAGCATTATTATATGAAAAAGGAGAATTAATTGAAAAAAATTTAGAAAAAGCATTTTATTGG